GGTCCTTGGTAACTGCACAAGAGTAGAAGGTGCCTGCATCCGCCAATAGTCTGCTAATAGGGAGGGCTGTGCAATTAAAGGCTTCCACCGATTGGGTAGTGTCCTTCAAGTGGGTGGCGAAGAGCCAGTCGGGCATATGTCATGAAGGTTTCTCCGACCGATTAATGGTTTGCTGCTTGACTAGCCTAGGGAAATAATAATAAAGGTAAAGTAAACTTTTTTAATGACATATGGGGCACAAAATAACTGGTGTCTTGTAAATGTTCTGTTTCTTTTTTTTTTTTTTAATATAAAATCTCTACTTTAGTCTTTAAAAATATGTACTGTTCCTTTTTTGTTTTTTTGTTTTGTTTTGTTTTCTTCCTTTTGTATTGAGCTCAGTATAGACTAATACTACTTTAATGTTAAAATCTGAATTTTCCTCTAGCATTTTGCTTAAAAGCAATATGCTTTTTGCTTATTTCGTGCCCTGGCATAGATAATTTTTGAATTCTGATAGAATACAAGTGTGGTAAATACCATGTTTGTACTTTATCTAACATCTTCTCTTCCAGTAGTCTTGTTTTTTATACCATGTGGTTGTTTGTGTGTCAAGTTTCCTTTTCTTCGCGTGACACAATTGTCTTGTGTTAAGGATCTCAAAGATTTCATGAGACAAGCTGGGGAAGTAACCTTTGCGGATGCACATCGACCTAAATTAAATGAAGGGTGAGTGTGTTTTGAAGGTCATAAAAGCCTTTTGAAAACTGAATGTTTTCAGAAATCTTAGAATTTGGGTATGCTGGAGTGTGGTGGTTCTCATTTGAGGATGAATTTGCTCTGTAGGGGGCATTGGACCACAGTTTTGGTGGTTGTAATGGGTTTAGGGTGCCACGGGCATCTTGTAGGTAGAGGCTGGGATGCTGCTAAACATGGCTACCACGCATAGGCAAAGGCCCCCACAACAAAGAACTGTCTAGCTTAAAATGTCCGTGGTTTGGAGGTGGAGAAACCTTGTAATGCTGTTTTCAAGATCTAAGATTCTTAATAGAGCAGTAGCAGAAGGTATCTAGAAAAGGTAATCTTGATACTCTGGATTGCTATATGTAGTTTGAGACCAGACTACCAGATGTTTATAATTGTACAAATGGCTTTTTTCCATTGTAGGGTGGTTGAGTTCGCCTCTTATGGTGATTTAAAGAATGCTATTGAAAAACTTTCTGGAAAGGAAATAAATGGGAGAAAAATCAAATTAATCGAAGGCAGCAAAAGGCACAGGTATCTAACATATTAAAGACAAAAGTTTTAGTTGGTGGGTTTGTAGGTCCTGCCACTTATATTGTATTTTTGTTTGTTTGTTCATTTTCTTCCCTAGTAGGTCACGGAGCAGGTCTCGTTCCAGGACCAGGAGTTCCTCTAGGTCTCGTAGCCGGTCTCGGTCCCGGAGTCGCAAGTCTTACAGCCGGTCCAGGAGCAGGAGCCGGAGCCGGAGCAAGTCCCGTTCTGTTAGTAGGTCTCCTGTGCCTGAGAAGAGCCAGAAACGTGGTTCTTCAAGTAGATCTAAGTCTCCAGCATCTGTGGATCGCCAGAGGTCCAGGTCCCGATCCCGGTCAAGGTCCAGATCAGTTGACAGTGGCAATTAAACTGTAAATAACTTGCCCTGGGGGCCTTTTTTTAAAAAAACAAAACAAATTCCCAAACCATACTTGCTAAAAATTCTGGTAAGTATGTGCTTTTCTGTGGGGGGGGTGGGATTTGGGGGGGGGGGGTTGGGCTGGAAATCTTTGTAGATGTGGACCACCAGGGGTTGTTGAAAACTAATTGTATTAAATGTCTTTTGATAAGCCTTCCGCTCACATTTTTGTGAATGTCTGAAGTGTATAGTTTGTGTATATTGAGAGAGCTCTTTTATAACTAAAGCAAATTTAATTTTTTTGTACTAGAAAAGATTTGAACATTTTAGTTCTTGGTTATTCAAATATGTTAATTCAGAATTAGTTTAATGCATCAATTAAACTAATTAATAGCTTTGGACATTTAAAAGAGCTCTAAATTTGCTTGTACATAAAGGCTTGAGTTTTCCTTGTTAGGGTCAAGGGTGTCCTCCCACCCACCCTTTAACAGCTGCCTGACAAAGACACGGTAAAGCAGCTGTTATTGATAATAAAACATTATAAAAACTGCTTTTGTCTGTTTGTCTGAAGGATGTATGTTATTATTTTTCCCTATCCATCTATGTTCACATTTAAAATACTTTGTGGAGAATCCTGGAATTTGGTTGGTGGATTTTTAAAGGTTTTTTTGAAAATTTAAGTCTTAAAAACCTTTGCCATTTCTGGTCTAGTCAAAACAAGGGCAGAGATGTCTGCAAACTGTTAAAATGATGATGACAGTTAAGTTTCCTGTGTGTGACTGTACCAAACCTCTTTCCCTTTATCACTTTATTGTATTGGTACAGGTTATTTAGGCTTCCATAGCCAAGAGAAGAGTAATTGGAGAACGGATTTTAAAAATGTTTTATGCTTATTTCAAAGGTAATAAAATTTTGGAGGTTAGATTATTATGTAAAGCTTATTTAAGTCCACGCACAAGAATGCGTTAAGGGGTTTCACATGTTTTATTTTCATTGATGAGCTGTGGATGTGACTGTGTATTAAAGGGAAAACTGCTTAAGGTTCTACATCCATCTTTGTTCTGAGCGTTCCATACCTGTAGATGATGATCTTTATTGTCTCCTAGTAATCTCAGAAACTACTTAGATTTTCTTAGTCCTCTATAGGAGTGCTCGGTTGTATAAATGTTTGGTAATGGTGAGTGGCATGTAGTACTTAGCTAATGTTACAAATATCTTCCCTTTATGCTTGCTGAATCTTCACAGCTACTAGGAACATAATCATTTTACAGGAGGAAACTCAGGGCCAGAGAATAGCCAAGTAAATGGTGGACTGGTATTGGAATTGAGGGAGTCTAGTTCCCCAGAACCTGAAAAGCTCATTTTCTTTCATCTGCGCCAGCCTTGCATGGGTTTTTTGAGGAAAGAAGTACCAGAAGGATTGCTTTTCGCTTTACAAAAGTATGGGGATTAGGTGGTAGGACTCCTATTTGGGGGTAGGTTTGAGAAGTTGTTGGTATATATTTTTTTGTTACATCCGAGACAATAGAAGCTCATGCAACAAAAATGGGGAAGCTGCTCCCTTCTATGAAGGGCCAATTGTAGGGGGAGTTTGAGTGTTACACTTGTTAATTTGCTCGGGGGGGAGGCTGATGTAAAGGAGTGGAACCTAAGTGTGTGTGTTTAGTTTGGAAGGCTGGAAGTGAGCCACAGTTGCTACCAAATGGAAAGGCAGTTTCTTCCCTTAAGTTTTTATATGTTGGTGGTATGACGTACATACTTTATGATGTTTTACCAGTTGACTTTATTCTATTTTAGTTTTTCACGTTTCTTTACCCCTAGATAGGTTAGGTGTCAGTGGCTTGCCAATTTGTCACTACAAATAGTTGTCATACAGTGAAGCAATAAAACGAGGCCCTTTGAGCAAATGGCAGAGATGACTGGGAGTTGGTTTGAACTAGCCTTAATTGCCCCATCGAGGACCTGAGAAATAGGAGTCTGAGTATAATCCTAAGCAAAGTTTTAGAACCAGTTTTTGTGTGAAGTAACGTAACTTGTTTTCTTTTGTATTCTGTCTAGTTCTCTTTTGAAGGATAATTTGAGATTACTAGACCTCAAGTCTAGCTCTACCTTCCTGAGAATACTAATGCTCTTGGTTCTGCTTAACTAAGTTTCCTGGCAGGTGAAATTTGCTGAATGGTAAAACCATTTGAGTAGATAGGTAAATAAGGGTATAATATGTTAATACAGTAGGCAGGTAGATCTTTTCACAGGTCTTTAACAGTATTAGTGACCCACATTGGTAATTTTTTAAAGTAGGCTCCATACTCACAGTGGAGCCCTGTGCTGGCTGTGAACTGAACCCAGATCAAGACCTGATTTGAGATCAAAAGTTGGATGGATGCTTAACTGACTGAACCACCCAGGTGCTCCCTCCTCCTCCCAGTTGGTGATTCTTAAACTTGCTCTGGTATCAGGAGTACTGGTGGTCCTGGCCATTGGGCAACTGATGCCCTAAAATTGTCTTTTAGGGTTTCAGTTGAACTTAAACATACTAAATGGTATGGAAATCACAAGTAATTGGGCAGAGTCTTATTTGCAGGTATCGTTTATTAATCTGCCTAATGCTTGTCTGCATATGAGCAGTACATAAAACATTTGTTTCATTGGAGAAAATTTGCAATTTTAGAATCCTATTTTAGAGAAACCACTCATTTTCCAGTAGCTTGCAGTACTTGAGTTTTGAGGGGGATAATACAGAAACCACTGTCAGCTAATGAATTGAAGGGATAGATTAGTGAATAATTCTGTGTATGTTTGTGTTTTCTTGTTTTCCTGACTTTTCTTCTCTACTGATTGTATTCTCCAGAAATGTCCATTCATTTCATTATGGCTGATTTTTTAGTTCATCTTGTTTATAATTGCTCTTGCATTTCATGTCTGCCTTTGTACGCTTAGTGTCATGTTGGTGTTCTCAGGAGCTTTAATCCCAGAAATAACAAAAGGGAAATTTTAAGGTTAGAAAGGACTTTGGGTGTTTGAAATTTGGCAGCGCTCTGAGCATTTTTTCCCCCATTTTCTGTCAAAAAGGTTGGAATAGGATTTGGATATTTGATTTTAGGGTAAAAGGCCCCTATTTATTGCCTAGTTCAGAAGTTGAGTGTGTCTTATGTGCCTGTGGAACACTACTGGAAATGCAGGGACAAAAGGCACTTTTGGTTTCTGCTTTCATAGGGCTGTCTTCAAGTCTTTATTTCTTAAACAAGTATCCGTCTCTGAGCTGGGGATAGGTGAGTCTCTTCAGGTGGACCCTCCAGGCAAGACTTGTCAATGCTGGTAGTCCTGCTGGCAGTTTCGAAAGACTCCGTCTCTGGTGTTCCTTTCATCTTTTGCTCTCTAGTTGATCACACTAAATTGCCTTCTGACCAGAATCCAGGCCACTCGGGGAAGGCTGGGCTGTGCAAGGGGAGCACTCCTCCCCTTTGTGGGTGCCATTTCCTAGAGTTGCTGGAATGGCTTCTTCAGTTGCAGCAGCTGTGTAGGTCATTTTTGTTTTATCTGGAAAGTTGAAAAGGGAGTGGAGAAGGAGAGCAACTATAGTTAATACAAAGCTTGTTCGGTCAAAGAACATCTTAGGTATTAAGTTGTATTCTGTGAGGTTTTGTGAGTTTTTCCCCCCCATCACTTTACCACCTGTCCTGCTATGACTTAAATTCTGGGGGAAGGATTTGTTTTCCCTTCAACATCCCTTATGGTAACACTACGAAGTAAGTCTAATATTGACTCTTTAACACTTCCTCTCCCAACTTCTCAGTATAGGAAATGTGTTCAGAAGGGTCGACTTGCATTTGGGGAGAAATGAGGGGCAGGGAGGAAAGAGTAACTTTAGGGGGTCTTCTTAGTGGAGTTTCCATGCCCCTTCAGTGTTTTGGTCATCCCTCTTTTTGTCTGTATAGAGTTGGTGAGTTGTGATCATAGGAGTCAGGGTCCACCTGTCTTGTCCCCATTTTTGTAGAAGGGTACAGGGCTCAGAAACAAAAACAAATCTTCACCCTGAGCACAGCTGCTTCAACCCTTACAGTGTGTAAGCTCTTAAGGCCTTCTGAGCTGCATTGTAGCCCTGCAAACTTAGGAACCTGGTTGGTTGGTTGGTTTAGAAACTTCCACCTCACACTACTTTTGTAAGGTAGTGGAGACTAAAGACTTCATGGGCAGTTGCCTTCAGGTAAGCATCAGAACAGATACTTCTCTACAACTCCACTGTGGTTTGGTTTTGTTTTTTAAGATTTATTTTAAAGATTTGATTTGTTGGGGAGAAGGAGCATACAAGCAGGGGGAGTGGCAGGCAGAGGGAAAAGCAGTTTCCCCCACTGAGCAAGGAGCCCATTGGAGGACTCTAGCCCAGGATGCTGGGATCATGACCTGAACTGAAGGGAGACTCTTAATTGACTGAGCCACCCAGGTGTCCCTTAAGGTTTATTTTAGAGCATGTGCTCCTGAACAGGGGGAGTGAGAATCTCAAGCACACACTACTGAGCTCAGAACCTGACCTGGGCTCGATCTCCTTACCCTGAGATCATGACATGAGCTGAAGTCAAGAGATGGGTATTTGACCCAACTGAGCTGCCCAGGACCCCTTCCACTGTAGGGTTTTTTTTTTTGTTTTTTTTTTTTTGTTTTTTAATTTGACAGAGATCACATGTAGGCAGAGAGGCAAGCCAGAGGGGGTGGGTAGGGGAAGCAGGCTCCCTGCTCAGCAGAGAGCCTGATTTGGGGCTTGATCCCTGGACCCTGGGATCATGACCTGAGCTGAAGACAGAAGCTTTAACCCACTAAGCCAGCTAGGCGCCCCTCTATTGTAGTTTTAAACTAACACTTGAAGTTCTGAAATAAGGCCAGCTACTTAACTGGTTTCTTTTGGACTGCTTGATAAGATTATATCTTAATTGTAAATCCACATTTACTATTACGCAATAATTCCAAGAAGGAGATTGTCTCCTAGGGTCTGAGTCCATCCCCAGGGTCTAGAAACATCTTGAAGGAGCCCTTCAGGTTCATGAGAAATAAGTTCCAGTTGAAGAATTTGATTATATGGATGTATAGAATTACAAAATACTGAAATAGCTTACCAAGTAAGGTTTCCTAATTTGGAAAAATGACATTTGCAGTTAAGGTCCACCTAGAGAGGGCCTTAGTGGTTTCCTTGAGGTTGATAGTTTAGAGAGAATAAAAAAGGAACATCTTAGAGGTGCCGTGCTATTGTTTAGAAAGTGATTCAATAATGATCAGACTAAGCTGTCAGACTAGGTGATCGTGATACTGTTTAATAAGCTTATACTACTTTTGTTTACTCTGTAATCAGAGTTGGAGTCTTTTGGCTCTTGGCTTATTAGTCTGTATTGCTTTAATATATTTTCTTTCACTCATAAAGGAGTGCCAGTGGTGCTGGGGTTTAACCTGGTTCTAGGACAGGAGAACCTAGCCTGAAGAAAACTTGAGTTTTCCAGATTGTGAATAGAGCCCATCACACAACTACCACCTCACGGCTATCTAGTATCTTAGAAAAATTTGCCTTGTTCATTCTGAGTCTTCGTGGTCTCCCTAAAGTCAAAATTGCCTTATTCCCATGAGGGCAAAGTCTATGCACAGATTCTTCCAGCTAGAAGACCACTGGAGTGCAGTTTTTGGAAATAGCCCTGGCTCTTTGAAGTCCTTTCCTACTTTTGGTGCTGCCTGGTTTCTCGTTGCTTGGTAAGAGTTGAAGTCCCATCCAAAAAGTCCCTTCCAGAGATCTCGTTGCTGGCAAGGATCAGATCCAGTATGGGAGAACAGAGAGGAGAACGATTAAATACTCACCCTTGGAAGACTTCATTTTCTCATAGCACCGAAAGAGGAGGATAAGAAGAAACCCTTCTCCAAGCTGGAAAATCATGTAGAGGAGAGGGAAGAAGAAAAGTGGTCCAATATCTTCAGGGCGAAAAGTCACATTGAGAATGGTGGAACAAAGTTGAACATTTTGACATCCAGTTTCCATACTGACAGTGCGGCTGCACCTGCATAGGTTGAAAAAAAAAAAAACACCTCTTTATTCCCTCAGAAGGGACGTGAGGGTGCGAATTTACTTGTCCATCTTCCTCCTTCCCAAATTAAGACTTCTTTATTAAGACTACTTCGTTGAAGGTTGAAGTGTGTGGTGACTAGTAGGTCCACTGCAGGTTTACCAAATTAGAATTTGGAGAGCTGTCTGGCTGAAGAGGGAGGAAGTGTGAGCCAGCATCATTCATCGGCTTGTTCTGTGGTTTACATATGGGACAGTTGAAGGTGAACATAAAGTAGAAGATTGAAATGCCTGGGGGACCTTGTCCTATTACCTAGTTTCTGATTTGAACATCTTTAATTCCAAACCCATAATGACTTAAAAAACTTGATGGGGTGCCTGGGTGGTTCCATTGCTTGAGAGTCTGACGCTTGGTTATGGCTCAGGTCATGATCTCAGGGTTGTGAGATTGAGCCCCACGCGGGGTCCTTTGTTCAATGGGGAGTCTGCTTGAGATACTCTCCCTCTGTCCCTACCCCCCATGCTTGCAGACTGCCAAATCTTTAAAAAAAAAAAAAATTTGATTCAGCCCCATTTTCTATCTATGGTACATAGAACATACTCTTACTCTTGTTTTACGGACTATAAAGAATGGGATGTTTACATTTAGTAAATACACATTTAATTTGTTGAGTTGTGGTAGCGTTTTAAAGTAGTGATTAAAAATTCTGAAAGCCGGGGGCACCTGGGTAGCTCAGTGGGTTAAAGCCTCTGCCTTCAGCTCAGGTCGTGATCCCAGGGTCCTGGGATCGAGCCCTGTATCGGGCTCTCTGCTCAGTGGGGAGCCTGCTTCCTCCTCTCTCTCTCTCTCTCTGCCTGCCTCTCCACCTACTTGTGATCTCTCTCTGTCAAATAAATCTTAAAAAAAAAAAATTCTGAAAGCCATCTCACCACATTTATTATGGGGAACTGACGACTCTGATTGGCCCTTGATTGGCCATTTATCACTGAAAATTGACATCTAGTGGTCTTTGACAGTTTTAACTCTACTATGTAGCCGCATGCTACATCCTATAATTTGTTCTTTATTAATAAGTGTGATTCTTAAAATGGATAACTTTTTAAGCTGTATTTTTAAAGCAATTCAGTTTGGGTGGGGGGCAGAGGGAGGGCACTAGGGTGCTACTAATGATTAGACTCTGGCAGAAATAGTTGTCTATAGCTGAAAAGAGGCAAAGTTTCTGAAACATAATGCCATGTGTAGACGGTGTGTCTGATTATCCTATACCAGACTGCCAGGCTGACTGTCCCTGAAAAGAGCCCCTGAGTCTGTGAATTGAATTAAACTACAGCAGACGTGCATAGCCACTTTGACTCTTCTGCCACTTAGCAGAGCTGTTACCCAGTGGTGTCCTTAGTCAAGACTAAAGCCTTGGCAGCCAAGGAGGAAGCGTGGAAAAGGAAGAGGATTGTCAACACTTAGCCATGATGACTTGGAGGCACTCCAGAGTTGTTTAGCTACCAGATTTCAGCTCAGGAGGGAGCACTTTGTCATGAGCTGTTGCTCTTTGGGTAATTAGATGCTTTTGTTCCCAAACCATTTAGTAACTTACTCCAGTGTTTCTCACAGTCCAAAGTTCCTTGTTCAGTTGATGCATTTGTACATACTGCCAGGAAAATGCCTCCCCCGGGTTTTGGATCTTAGCCTTTTCCTGAGAGACGAGGACAAGAATGAAGCCCATGGGACATTGAGATCTAAAATAATACCTACCGTCCATTGAGGCGCAAGAGGGTAGAGAGGACGTAGCCCAGCAGGAAGCCGACGAAAGGCATCAGGGAGGAGGTGGCCAGCAAGTGTGGTGTCATGACAAACATGATACTCTTGCCCACGTTGATGACAGAGAGTGCTATGACGGCCACACTTAACAAGAGCATGATGATCATCCCTCCCTGTAAATGAGGACAGGAAGAAAAGGGAATTAGAAGGGTGGTAGGGGATAGGGAGGAGCAGAGAGTCTGAGGAAGCAACGGGTGGGTATTAAAGGTGGAAAACATGTTAATGAAAAGTTGGTACTTGAAGGGAGTACAAAAAACTTTATCTCCCATCTTTTTGGAATTCTTACAGGTAGCTAGGAAGCATCTTGAATGACAGATCTAAAATTTTTGTTACTATTGACTGTTAACAAGATAGCCAGATGATTGCCAGCAAAATGAGTTTATCTGGAAATAGAGGAAGTACAGCTTGGGACAAGTAAGCTGTGATGAACCATAGGCAAGCGCTCAGAATAGGCAACTATGCCTTTAGAGAGGACAAACTGGGAGGTGCTGTTTTACTAAGTCCTCACTGGCAGGGCTGTTGCTGGGCAAGGAGAAATTCTTCCTCCTGCTGTGGTATGTAAGGCAAGCTGCTTTTGGCTATTGGTAGTGCAGGAGAGCTCTCCCTTCAGGGCTTCTGGACTCCCTTTTTTTTTTTTTTTTTAAGATTTTATTTATTTATTTGACAGTACAAGTAGGCAGAGTAGCAGGCGGAGTGGGGGGGTGGTGGGGAGAGCAGGCTCCCCACTGAGCAGAGAGCCCAATGCGGGGCTTGATCCCAGGACCTTAAGATCATGACCCGAGCTGAAGGCAGAGGCTTAACCCACTGAGCCACCCAGGTGCCCCCTGGACTCCATTTTAAATGAGGTTTTCTTTATTTTCACATTTCTCCCTTTTGATAAAGGTCTTTCTTCAAAAGCATTACTGATCCAGAGTCAGGTTTTTTATATTTAGTGGCTCCATCCACTAAAGTGGTTTTGTTCCTCAGTGCCAGGAAGGACTTTCCCTGGTGGTCGTGTCCCATATTGGAAAGTGCATAGATTGGAAACTGTTGAGGCTACATTAGAGTAACAAGGAAGGGTATGAGGGAGAACTCTCAGGCATTTCCCATCTGAGGTCTATATCTTGCCAAGATTGTAAGCATTGGAGATCATCTTGGAAGTCTTTGAACTAACATCTCTCTATTGGTGTGTTATTTCTGTAGAGATTTGATAGTAAATAAGTTTGTGAATATCTAGCAGAATAATGATTTGTATGTGTAATAGTCCTAAACTAGGATTCCAAACCTTAAGGCATCCAGCTAAAGAGGTCAAAGAATTGGGATGCCTGGGTGGCACAGTCAGTTGGATGCCTGCCTTCAACTCAGGTCATGATCCCAGAGTTCTGGGATCAAGTCCCACATCGGGCGCCCTGCTCAGTGGGGAGCCTGTTTCTCCCTTGGCTCCCTGTTCCCCTTGCTTGTATGCTCACTCTCTCTGACAAATAAATAAAATCTTAAAAAAAAGTCAAAGGATTGATGGTTATGGTTGGAGAAAGGTTGAAACAAGGTCTGAGAACACCTGGTCATAAGAGCCTAACCTGACAGGTCTTGTAGTTATAATTTGGGATAAAAGATAAATTGGTTACAGGTAAGGAATCTCTGACCTCATGAACAGATTGCAATTTCTGGTGACAGATCGAGCAGTTAGAAAGTTTCTCCCCTTTTACAATAGATTGAGCCAAGAAAGGGAGGAAATAAGGTGAAGAAGCAATATTGAAAAAAAGGAATACAGGCTTAATATCTTGGGAAAACTGTCTCCTTCAAGTGTCATCTGCTTTGATCCTAGAAATCATTTTTAGGTCATGAATTGGTGTGTGGGTCCAGTCAGGGTTTGATGCTTTCATTAGACGATCCAAAAGTCTGTTCCTTAGTTTGGTGGCACGAGAGTTAATAATACCTGTTAGGGGCATTTTCAACAGGGTTGGGGGGAATTCTGAGCTGTCTCTTCCAGTAGGTTAAATTTCAGGACTACAAGGTATGATGGTTAAAGTCTTCATCTCCTGGGAGCACACTATGGAAAGATTACTAAAGCAAGTTGAGCAATAGATGATAGATTTCGAAGGATTAGGGGCAATGCCTTTGGCCATGGTATTTGAAAGGTCTCTACAAATTTTGCCAGTTGGGTCTTAATGTGTTCAGCTAGCCCTGAAGATTGAGGGTGGTGAGCACAGTGAAAGTGCCGTAAAAGTAGCTGAACTGCGCAGACTTGTCAAAGCCCTTGACTGGTGGAGTGAATTTCCTGGTCGCTATGAAGTTCCGGGGGGCATTGATGACCTTTAGTGGGATTTTAGCTGTAGAAGTAGCAGTAGCCTATCTACAAAGGAAAGCTTCAGTCCAGTGAAGAAGCATACAAACCATTACCAAAACACATTTATATATACGAGGTGGAGGAAGCTCTAGAAAATCCATTTATCAAACTTCAAATAGTCTAGTAGGTAGTTTGAGGTGTGGGGAGCAGTGTGGACAGGTTTTCTTGGATTGTGTTTTGGGCAGGTGAGGCAAGCAAAAGAGGTACTCTCTGAGACCTTGTTAATATCTCTCCGCCGGTATTGGTTCATGAAGGCTTTCCAGTCGTCAGTAATGGGAGCCTTGTGTCTCGAGCAGGACTACATTATTATTTTTTTAATTTTAATTGACTATGCCATTTTTTAAAAAGGTTTTATGTATATCTTTGTCAGAGAGATAGAACACAAGCAGGGGAAAGCCAGGCAGAGGGAGAAGTAGGTAGAGGGAGAAGCAGGCTTCTCACTTAACGGGGAACCCAATGTGGGACTTGATCCCAGGACCCTGGGATCATGACCTGAGCCAAAGGCAGACGCTTAACCCACTGAGCCACCCAGGCTTATTATTTGGCCCAAACCAAATAGATTTTTGGCCCAAGCCAGAGTTTTGTTTTGTTTCGTTTTGTTTTAAATTGACTAGCAGTTAATCGTTTTCTAATATTTTTCCTTTTTCTGGGGCCAATTGTTAAGCATCTCTGGTCAGTTCTTCTAGATTATCATTTGGGGGAACATCCTTTTGGACCATGACAGAGGTTTAGTTACTGGTTCCTTTGAAAGCAGCATTCTTTGCAGAAATATCAGCGAGGTGGTCTCCATTAAGTCCCAGGGAATCAGGTTTAGGATTCCCAGGGACCTTGATAATGGCCAAGTGGCTGGCAAGAGTATGGCATCTAATAATTTCTGGACAGAAAGGCCATTTTTAATTCTGTCCCCGCTAGAAGTGAGGAAGCCTTACTGGTTCCATACCATTCCAAAGCCACAAGCTACACAAAAGGCATACCGATTCTCAGGAGAGTGGTAGTCCCTTCAGGGCTTCCCAACTGCATTTTGAGTGAGATTTACTTTATTTTCACATTACTAAGCCAGCACGGCTTCTAACTGACCTCTCTGGACTGCAGGTATTTCAGTGACCGCTGTGACTCGAAGGCATGAGACTATTCATTCAGTCCTCCCACAAGTGTTTAGTTTTCTTACAAAGTCATTATCTCTGGAGCCTGTATACACATATCTACCATATTACCATCGCTTGCTCCGCATATTTAGGAACTTGGAACCTGTCCTACTTGTCTCAAATACCTCCATTACGTGTAGGGATTGCCTCTGTTTTAGGATGAATCTGATTTCTGGAAGTTGCTAAGAATCATCTGAAGTGAAGCTGGTAAAGGTTGGTGATTGAGCCAGGTAATGTGATTTTAGACTCCCAAACTGATTTATAACCATAAAGGGGCAAGCCTACTTTCTTGAGTGACCTGCAGATTGGATATGAAGGAAGTTACCAAAAGAAGTTTCAGGAATGTTCTGGGTAATAAGGGAACATCAGAAACACTGCACGTCTACCCTGCCCCAGGTGAGTGCCTACGAAAGCAATATTTGTTGGGAACAGTGGTATGTTTTCATTTATTTTAGAATTTGCTTTATTTTAAAATTTGTTGATTTTATAGTTGCATCTTACATACCATTTTATTTTTTATTTTTTGAAAGATTTTATTCATTTATTTGAGAGAGACCAGAGCACAAGCTGGAGTGGGGTGGGGTTGGGGGGCAGAGGGAGAGGAAGGAGCAAACTTCCCACTGAGCAGGGAGTCTGACACAGGGCTCAATCCCCAGACCCTGAGATCATGACCCAAGCTGGAGGCAGATGCTTAATCAACAGCTCCCCAGGCACCCCCATCTTACCATTTTAACTTTTCAATAGGTGAATTTATGATGAAATTACAATAAGACTTTTTAGCATGTAACATAAGAATGAAAGCTTTCAAACTGCACTCACATGTCTGTTCATTTTGGAGAATGACACACCAACCTGATAAAGTATATGCATAAATTTAAGGCTCTGTATCCCTTAATCTTCTGAGTAAAGGAATATATAACACACTTTTATTGAACTTACCATGTTATTTTCTAATATTTAGGTGTATTGCTTCCAGTTTCCAGTTCATTCATGTGACATATTTCCTAGTAATATTTAGAAAATTATGGTAAGGGGCGCCTAGGTGGTTCAGTCGATTAAGCATCTGCCTTCGACTCAAGTCATGATCTTGGCGGGATTGGGGGGGGGGGGGGCTTCTCAGCAGGGGGTCTGCTTCTCCCTCTCCCTTTACCTCTCCCTCTGTTTGTGCTCTCACATACTCTCTCCTCTCTCAAATAAATAAAATCTTTAAAAAAAAAAATAGAAATTGTGGTAAAGTGTATATAACACAAAAGTTGCCATTTTAACCATTTTTAAGTGTACAATCCAATGGCATTAATTACATTCACAGAGTTGTCTTGGTAACATTTTAACATTTATTTATATTGCTCAAATTTCAGCTCTACTGTTTTGCATTTCTGTGTTTGAATCCACATTGCAACGGATGTGGCCATTTAAAGATTTTTATTTTTTATTAGAGTGAGTGCACGGGCAATGGGGAGGGGCAGAGGGAGCGAGAGAAGCAGACTCCCTGCTGAGCAGGGAGCCTGATGCAGGGCTGGGTCTCAGAATCCTAAGATCATGACCAGAGCCGAAGTCAGATGCTTAACCCACTGAGCCACCCAAGTCCCCTTTGATGTGAAAATTTAAATGTCAACCTGTAACGACTAGTGGTCCTACCCCAAGATAGGAAGGACTTTCACAGACTTCAATGATAACCACATATCAGGTTGTATTGGAAGATTTCACTGATGAGCTGTTAGTTTGCATTTGAATTGACTTCTCCTTTTGGATTTTTTCCTCTTTTCAATGACCAAATAGATTTTGTCCCCATCAAAAGAGTGTAATGGGTAATATAGGGGTTACTGGGCTACTGAAATTGCCCATGAATGAACCCAGATATCCTGTTCTCTGTGGGCATCTGCTCTCATTCTCTCACTCTGGTTCTCCTGGGGTTGTAGAGTGGTTTGGAGCATAGACGTTGGTGCGACCCTGGTGTGAAGGCTGACTGCCAGTCTCCAGGAGCGTAAACATTGCTCAGCCACTCCACATTTCTGAGTCAGTGGACAGCACAGCACTAGGCATGTAAGAACTGACTCACTGAATTGTAGCCCCTCTTCTTATTCACGGGTTAAGGAGAGGAATTGAACATCCCAGAGCTTCCTGTCATCTTTGTCCTGCCACTTGTCCACAACCTCCTGCTGAGACAGGCCAGAGGTAGGTGCTGCTCCATGTTTTCTGTACCACCTGACTTCACTGTTCGAGCTGACAGAAGCTGTGAGCAGCCTCCATTCATAGGCAATCCATCAGCGTGCGAGTGATACGGGAGATAATTTGGCTCCCTATTCCCACAAAGGTGGCATACACGGGTTGCTGAATGACCAAACTAAGAAGATCCTCTCGTTTAGAGGATTTGCAGAACTACAGAGACGGAAACAGGAGCCGAGACAGGCCTTGAAAGACAGCAGTGTAAGCTACACGTTGGCAAACACTATCACACGGAGGTGGGGCCGATCTCCCGTAGCAGCCAGTGGGGGAAAGCTTGGGGGAGTGGCCAAGGCACTGTAACAGCAGGACCCTTATTTAAGGGTGGTGGGTGGCTTGTGGTACAAGCGGACCAGGTCATGCTGGGGTTCATCAAACTGACCACATAGACTTGCATGGGTAAGTTAGAGTGTTTTACTTGAATTGCCATTCCAAATAGAACATCCTTGAACTTGTATCTTGGCCTGTCTAGATGTGACCTCCCACGAGATAATGCAGGTGATGGAGCAGAATTTGAGCAGATACCTTCTGCCAGAGCTAGTTAGCAGAAGTTGGGTAATTGTGATTTGAAAGTCTCTAGAAGGGTTACATGTGGAAAAGGGCAGGGATGGGTATTTGCTCAATTTTCAGCTTACCACTCACTCTCTCTTACGTAAGAGGGAGATCTCACTGGACTCCATTTCTGCTGTTGAATTGAGTGGTGGGTATGCATCAACCAGCAACAGGAGACAGGTTAATAATCCTGGCTCTGCCAAGTGGGTTCTGGGGCCTCAGTTATTCCATTGGAATAAGGCAGGAAACTGAACTTTATCTTGAAAGCCTTGCCAGCTCTAAGATCTGAGATCGTTTCTGCATCTTCAGGTGAATATTTTTAATTAAAGTTATTCTGAGTTAAAAAGACCTACATTCTTGTATTAGTTGTGACTGGCAATATAGTCCTTGGCTTTGTCACTTACAAAATGGGGAAGAACAGAGTTCCATTAAATGATATCAGGGTCACTTCCCTTTTTTTTTTTTTTTTTGTCACTTCCCATTTTAAATTTATTTTTTTGCATTCCTATACTTCTACAAACTATCTGGAATAACATTAAATGATAGATGCAAACATGTCTGGGGGTTTTGCCCCTGCACATGTGGGAAGTGTCCCAAGTGGAGGGGAGGACATTTGCAAAGAGAAAAGAGCTGGGACTGGGGAGGTTGGGGATAGCAAGTCGAGAAGGGCCTAGAAAGCCCCATTAGGGAGTTCAAAGTTTATCCTCGAGAATGTACAGAACCGACGAGGTGTGTTTTAAGCAGTGGAGAGACACGGGAAGTGTTCGTACTGTCCATCTCCACCCTCGGGTTAAAACCGATCAGGAAGCCAGGTTAGAAGGCTGTTTCAGTTGTCTTGTGAGAGAGGACAGTGGCCCGAGTAGATGATAGTGTTCTCAGAGATGGGGCAGAGTGGATGGATCCAAGCGACACAAGGCAGAATAGACAACAGGTGGGTGGGAGAGGAGATGGAGAGAGGACACTGAGAATGATTTGACGATTTTGTGGCTCCGGCAGCTAGGCACATGGAATGCCATGGCTTGAGATAATCACATGGGGGAAGAGCAGACTTGGGGAGGAGATAGTTTGAGTTTAATGCTTAATGAGTTTTAAATGCCTGACATATATTCAGGTGAAAATATTTGGCAGTTAATAAATGAATCCTGGAGTCAGGAGATAGTTGAGGGCTGGAGGTGGTGTTCTGGAAGTCATCAGCTTGTGGATGGTCATTGAGATGGACCAGATCTCATGGTGGGGAGATCTGGTCCATCTCAATGACCAATGATTTGCTTAGGGAAATCTGGCAAGAAAAGCAGAAAGCCTGGGCTGAAGGCAGAGAAGTAACTTTTACCAGGGAAACTCACTAGGGAGTCCAAAAAGAAGTGCCCAAGAGGTGAGAGGAAAGCAGGAGTGCCCGGTCACCACAGCTGAGGGGAAGGCTTCTGAGAGAGAAGCATGGTCAGTCATACCAAAGGTTGCTAAAAAGTTAAGGATGAACCAAGAAATGTCTGTTGGATTTGGCAAAGAAAGTAGATCATCATGCTGAATGGATGGGAGACCAAGGAGGAGAGAAGTGAGAGATTCAAGTAGCTGAGACTAATTAGCTGAGACTAATTGTTGAGGGCCTGTCACTTGTGAGAGCTGCCCTCGTGGGTGTGGTGGGAGTGGAAGGTGGTGGGGGACACAGGTGCAGGGAGGGGTGTTTCTTGAAGCATGGGTAGGGGAGGAAAGGCAGCTGCTGGAGCCCAGGAGGGATGGCTTTTGTTTTTGTGTTTTAAAGAGAGGAGAGAAGTGAACCTGTATCAGTACTGATTGTAAAGAACCAACCGGCACAGAGACTTGAGAAATGAGAGCAGAACTGCGGGAGGCTAGGGAACCTGGGGCCATAATCACTAAAAGCAGATCTCTGAGAAGCAAGAGTGGAGAGAATGGGTGAAGCCACCCAGAGCTGAGGTGGGGAAACTGAACATGGACCGAGGAGAAATGACTTTTCCAGGTCTGTCAATGGAGTGGGAAGGATAGCTGAAGCCACTGCGTTAGGACTGGGCCAGGACAAGGGCAAACCTACCCCGGGTGGTGGTAGTGCGAAAACTGAAAAGTCCTGACGACTTGCAACTCCTTTGTCTCAGGCCCAAAGCTGCCGCCAAGGCTTGAGCTTCTAAGCAGCAGGCCCCGCAGGCTGGTCTGAGGCAGAGTCCTTCCTGAGGACGAGCACGGAGTCCCAGCCTTGCGGGGGTGAGCAGTGAGCTGGAGGGGGAGACTTACAGGGACTAAGCTCCAGGGTTACGAAGTTGGTAGGGGTCCATCGTAGCACTCCCAAGAGTCTATGTTTCTTCTGAGGGCAGGGCAGTGGCATGATGGCCTGTGTGTGACCACAGTGCTCCTCCAAGCCCCCTGGGGCTAGTCATCTCTCCTTCCCATCCCACACCTGAAATGCTGGGAGTGCGCACGCTACCTCTTCCCCTGTTCTCTTCTCCTCTGACTTCTTGTAAGGTCAGCCAAGTTTGCCGTCATTCCCCCTGAGTTCCTCTATTCAGGCTCCCCCCGACTCAGGCTGACCCAAATCCTACCTTCATGGTCTACCCCTTCCGATCTTGCATTCAGCCAATACCTAGTTGTGCACTGAATTTGGTCTTATTTCTCATGTGTTCCTTCACTGTCTGCTAATATCAGACTCACGACAACGAAGCCTCCAAGTATTAGCATAAAACTTAGCATCTAGTAGGTATATAGACAAATTTTTATTATGAAAATAATGAAAATTAAAATTACGAGAAATAATCATCATATGATTGTGCATGTGTTCTACTTTTTTCTCCTTTTCAAAAGTATTCTCACATACATTACAACCCCATGAGGTAGGTGTACCAATAGTCAATCCTTTTACTTCTTCCAATAAGGAAAGAAACAGACACAGAGAAAGCCTTGACTCTCCTCAAGCAATACACTGAGATGATCGTGGCATTCTTGCTCCCTGTACAGGTCCCCAGGTTCTTACCTTGGTGACATAACGTACATATTGTGGCCGTTTGGCATTGAGGAAGATCCCAATGGTGCAAGGAATGAGAACCAAGATTAGTGATATCACGATGCCTTTGTAGGGTACCTTGTCCTTCAGATCCCCATCATAGATCCCCCTGGAGTAGACAAACAGGAGGAGGGGCATCATTCCCAGAGCAAAGAAGGTGGAGCAGGTGGTCATCACGATGCTGGGAGGGAGAAGCAGAGAGAGTACAGAGTGAGCCCATTAACATAGACTGTTCTGTTGATTTCCTGCTATGAGCCAGGCATTGTGCTAAGCATTTTACATACATTTAATTTCTTTTTTTCCAGTACGCTTAGGAGATACAGGTTACAAGTTGATATTCTCAAGTTCTTTACTTTCTGGTTTATCTTTACGTTATTTTTGATAAGTAGAGTGTGAGTCCCAGAGCCTGAATAATATATCTCTGCTCTAATCTGTATCCTAATTGTACTATTACCGTTTCCATTTGGACTCCACTACCTGTTAGTCCTGTATAGGGAGAGGCCTTCTGGAAAGGCTGGTTGAAAGAATAAAGAAGCTAGAAAATATTGTTGGATTTGTGGATATTCATGTGACCATATATGGCTCTAGCTTCCATTCTTGTAGGAGGGTTGGGCATGAAGGGTTGGCAAGACCCCAGGAAAGCCCCACTAAGTGTGTGTTTCTCCTCCCCACAGCCCTATTATCTATCTACACTGGTTGTTTCCATAGAAGTGAAATATAGCTTCAGTGCACATCAAGCATGGCCTAAGTCAAAGGGTCCAGAGTGTAGCCATCAAGGACAGCAACAGGTAGAGGTCACTAGGAATAAGTAGCTGCCAGAGGTGAGGAGAGACCCTCAAAGAATACTGTGAACTAAATAATGGGAAAATCCTTCTTCCAGGAATATCTAAAGCACTAAACACATATTTGAGCTTGTAGAAAAGTTAGGGAGTTTTCCAGTTACCAGCAACAGAATGCAAAGGAGTTCGTGGGTGAGCTTATGCTGAAGCGGCATGGTGTGGAGTGGGTAGGGGGTAGAGTGTTAGTCTTGGTAATCTGAAGGCTTTGGTTTTCTTGATAAAGGGAGGGACCAGAACTGAGGTCTATACTTGTGAAAAGAGGAGAGTTGAAACCAAGAAATCAATAATAAAAGAACTATTGGAGAAATAAAGTAATAATCCCATGTGTCAAATATAAAATCATAATGGAAAAAATTGGGGACAGAATAATAATGAGACACATATTTGAAAACACATGGGATATGACCTTGGATTGCACAACAGTTTCCTAGAAATGACATCTAGAGCCCACCCACACACACACAGAAAAAAAATAAATCAGAATTATTTATCAGAATTAAAAATGTTTGTGCTTCAAAGGACACTATCCAAAAAGATAAACCAATGGCCAATAAGCATACGAAAAGATGCTTGACATCATTAGTCATTAGAGAGATACAAATCAAAACCATAATGAGATCAGCACACTCACCAGTATGGCTACAATAAAGGTGACAGCTAATCAGTCTTGGAGAGGATGTGGAGAGATAGGAGTCTAACTGTGCTGTTGATGGGACAGTAACCATTAGGACCCGGCAATTCTACCAGATACATAGTCAAGAGAATTGAACACATAAGTTGACACAAAAACTTGTATACTAATGTTCAGAGCAGCATTATTCATAATAGCCAAGATGTGGAAAACAATAAAAATATCAACTGATGAATGGATAGGTAAAATACGGTGTACCCAAAGAAGTAAATATTATTCAGCCACAAAAAGCAATGTATTAAGTACCGGCACACGTTACTAGATGGGCGAACCTTGAAGACAAAATGCCACGTGAAAGAAGGAGAAACATAAAGGGCCACATATTACGTGATTCCACTTCTATAAATTCTATGGAGACATGATATAGATTATTGGCTGCCAGGGGCTTGGGTGAGCGAGAAAAATTCAGTGACTGCTAACTGGTTTCTTTTTAGGATGATTAAAATGTTCTGGAATTAGATAGTGGTGATAGTTATACAACCCTGTCAATATACTGAAAACTAATGAATTATACACTTTAAAATGGTGAAACTTGTGTGTGAATTATATCTGGATAAAAATAATTAAATCTGGGGAGCAGCTAAAATAATTCAGAGAAGAAAATATAGCCTCAAATATTTATATAGGAAAAGTGAAAGACTTGGGGCACCTGGGTGGCTCAGTCGGTTGAGTGTCTGCTTTCAGCTCAGGTCATGATTCCAGGGTCCTGGGATCAAGCCCCTGCACCCTTCTGCACCCTTGCTCAGTGGGGAGCCTACTTCTCCCTTTGCCTGCTGCGCCCCACTGCTCCCCCTGCTTGGGCTCGCTCGCACTCTCTCTCTGATAAATAAAATCTTAAAAATAAAAAGGAAAAGCAGAAGACTAAAAATTAACTGAGGATCTTACTGAGAAAATTAGAACAAAGTAAACTCAATGAAAATAGAAGGAAGAAAAAAAGTTGAGAGAAATCAGGAGCACCTGGGTGGCTCAGTGGGTTAAAGCCTCTGCCTTTGCCTCAGGTCATGATCCCAGGGTCCTGGGATCAAGCCCCACATCGGGCTCTCTGCTCAGTGGGGAGCCTGCTTCGCTCCCCACCGCCCCCCCCCCGCCTGCCTCTCTGCCTACTTGTGATCTCTGTATGTCAAATAAATAAGTAAAATTAAAAATTTAAAAATGTTTAAAAAAATAAAATTTATATAAATCAAGAGGATCAATTAAACCAAGAGCAGCTTGTTTTTTGTTCTGTTTTGCCAAGTCCAAGAAAAGACACCTCTGGCATGACTAATCAAGGAAAAAGAAGGCACCAATTGATTATTCTGGGAATGAAAAAGAGTACATAATTAAAGACACATTAAAGATTTTAGGGAGTTATAGAAAAAAACCGAGGACCGTTTTGTACTTTCATTTTTCAATTTGGATTGAATGAACAATTTCCTGGGAAATGTAATCTATAGGAACGAGCTCAAAATGAAGCTGAAAACCGAAATCAACTTAGAATCACTGAGGACATGAAGTAGGTAGTGAAAATCTATCCTTCAAACCCCACATGACATCCATAGTTCCACAGCAGAGTTCGATTCAACAAAGTATAGATAGTCTCAATGTTATATAGAGAATACAAAACGGAGAAACATGCCCCAATTTATTGTTTGTGAATACTATGACTTTATTTTTTTAAGGTTAATTTTGAGAATTTAAATTCAATTAATTAACATATATTATTAGTTTCAAAGTTAGAGGTCAGTGATTCATCAGTCTTACATAATACTCTGTGCTTAATACATCACATGTCCTCCTTAATGTCCATCACCCAGTTACCCCAACCCCTAACCCCTCCCCTCCGGAATAGTATAATTTTAGAATCAAAGCTGCAAAAGGACATTATGAGGAAGGAAAGTTAGGGGCCATTCTCACCCATGAACAAAGAAGGGAAAAAAAAATAGAGTATTAGCAAATAAATCTAACAATGCCTTTACAAAATAATACACAGAAAAAGATGAGTTTATCCCAGCAATGTAAAAATGGGTTAACATTAGACAATCTACTGACATATATCACTGTATTATCACATTAGAAAAAAACACGGTGTGATCCTTTCATAGCTAAGAAAATTGTCGTTCAACAAAATTCAGCGTTTGTGCATTAAAAAATTAGCACACTAGCAACAGAATGGAATTCCTTAACCTAAAAAGGGTATCTATCAAAAATCCACAGCAAATAGTAAACTTTGTGGTGAAAAATAAGAAAGTTTCCTCCAAGAAGAAAAATAAAGCAAGGATATGTGTTACCATCACTTCTATTGTAAATCATATATGTATTTATATGTACTTGCTAGCACAGGAAAACAAGAAATAGAAACTATACGAATGGGAAAAAAGGAAATTAAACTTTCATTACATGCCAATGATTGGACTGTCCACAGAGGAAATGTAAGTGAATTTCCATATAACTAGAAAGTAAAAGAATCCATGAGTTTTTTTTACTCTATCAGCAATATGAAAAAATCAGTTGTGTCCTGTTACTCTAGAAAAAATAACTGGGACATAGTTTTTTTTTTCCCTCACCCCACTCCACCACATGCCAGGACATAGATTTCTTTTTCTTTCTTTTTTTTTTTTTTTAAAGATTTTGTTTATTTATTTGAGAGATTGAGAGAGAGCATGAGAGCAGAGAAGGTCAGAAGGAGAAGCAGACTCCCCATGGAGTTGGGAGCCCGATGCGGGACTCGATCCCAGGACTCTGGAACCATGACCTGAGCCGAAGGCAGTTGCTTAACCAACTGAGCCACCCAGGTGCCCCAGGACATGGATTTCTTAAGAAGAGATACCATTTAGCAGACTTACTGGTGGTGAGCATTTTGTCATATATGTAACTGTCGAATACTATGCTGTATAGCTAAAAACCAATATTGTCAACTATACTGCAATTAAAAAGGTGCCATTTATAATATTCACAAAATCTATAAAGTATTTAGAAATAAATCTAATGGAGACATGCAGGATCTTTACAGAAGAAATTATAAAAGTCCACAGAAAGGCATAAAATAAAGTCCTTCTCCCCAAAAGAAAAGCTATTATCATTTTCATGGATGGGAAGCCTCTAAATTTGTAATCTATTAATTTAATGAGGGGCGCCTGGGTGGCTCAGTGGGTTAAAGCCTCTGCCTTCGGCTCAGGTCATGATCTCAGGGTCTTGGGATGGAGACCCACATCGAGCTCTCTGCTCAGTGGGGAGCCTGCTTCCCCATCTCTCTCTCTGCCTACTTGTGATCTCTGTCTATCAAATAAATAAATAATCTAAAAAAAAAAAATTCCAGAAATGTTTTTTGTAGACTTGAGACCTAATCCCCCAAACCAAATGAAGAATTAAGGGCAAAGAATAGCGAACGTAATTTTCTTTCTTTCCTTTTTCTTTTTCCCTTTCTTTCTTTCTTTTTTTTTTTTTTTTTTAACAATTTTTAATTTATTTATTTGAGAGGCGGAGAGAGCCTGGGGAGGAGCAGAGGGAGAGGGACAAGCAGGCTTCACGCTCAGTGTGGAGCCTGATGCAGATCTCCACCCCAGGACCCTGAGATCATGACCTGAGCTAAAACCAAGAGTTGGATGCTTCACTGACTGGGCCACCCAGGCACCAGGTGCGGAGACTTACCTTTCAGATATCAAGACTTACAAAGTCATGGTAATTAAGAAAACGTGGTGTAAGGTGGCCACACAGACCAAGAGAAGAGATTCCTAGAAACAAACCCACACATACTGGTGAATTTTATCCACATGAGAGATGGCATTACCAATTACTGGAGAAAAATTCACTCAGTGGTACTGGGAATTCTCTCTATTCATTTGGAAAAGATAAAATTAGATTGCACTATACATAAAAATGAGCAATTGAAAATCTCCATGTGAAAAAGCATAACTTAAAAACTTTTCAGGGGCACCTGAAATAACTCAGTGGGTTAAGCTTCTCTCTGCCTTCGGCTCAGGTCATGATCCCAGGGTCCTAGGATCGAGCCCTGCATCGGGCTCTCTGCTCGGTATCGAGCCTGCTTCTCTCTCTCTCTGCCTGACTCTGTGCCTATTGTGATCTCTGTGAAATAAATAAATAAAATCTTAAAAAAAAAAAAAAAACAAAAACTTTTCAAAGAAAATGTAGGGGAATATCTTCATGACCTTGAGCATAGTCGATGATTTCTTAAAGGAACCCTCCCCAGACACAAACTGCCAAGGAAAAAGATTGGTAAATTTGAGTCCATTAAAATAAACACTCTGTATTATAAGACATCAACATCAACCTATGAAGACCAGTCCCAAACCGAGTTGATCATTGCAACACACAAAAACAACAAATACCTACAATTCAGTGAGAAAAAATGTCCAAGAGGACAGTCAAGAGAAAAAGCAGCAAAGGACATATTTCTAGTGGAGGACTGATGGCGACCTGGTCATTGGCCAAATGGCCAATAAACATATGAAAAGGTGCTAAACCTCCCTTGAAATCACATTTAAAACCGCTGCGACCTATTCCACATTCACCAGATGGCGCCAATGACAAAGTCTGACAATTCTAAGGACAGATGACTGCAAGGAGAAAAAAGGATCTTCATTACTCCGCCGGGGAAAGTGTGAAGGGCGAGGACTACTCTGGAGACTCATTTGTAGGCATGCGAACCCCACGACCTGGCAGTCCTGCTTTGATGTTATGCACTTTCGCCCCGGGAGCAGGGGGCACAGGTACAAGACTGTTCACAGCAGCAGAATGTGAAATCCACGTAAATAAATGTCTGTCGGTAGAACAGATGCATCCCAGCAAACTACATTGCGGGTCAAGGGCCCCGGAGAAGCTGTTCTGCACATATGCCCATATCTCAGAGAGGCAAGGAGGTAGGTAGTAAGAGTGTAAAAGGGTGTGTGCTCCCTTGGGGTGGGTAGAGTGGCCCCAAACTGGGGAGGGACACAGGGGGCTCCGGCGCTAGCTATGGATCTTGTTTTGGGAGAAAAGCCACACACAACTTGTGTGCCTGTTTTGATGCCCTTGGGCAGAGGAGTCATGCTTACTCTGGCTTGGTACATCAGAAGTTCTGGAATTTGCTCTGGACGTGGTGTGCCTTGCGAACTCTGGTGGATGGAAACCATGCCCCAAGACCTCCGGGTACCTCCTATATCACTAGTATCTCTAACTGTCATGATCCTCCTTTTATCCTGAAGGACGGGGGAGGACTTGTCCAGCCTCTAGCTCTGAGATGGGGGCTTGTTTCGGCAGAGCAGTGTGGACCTGGCTGCCTCTGGGGGAGGATGGGGAGCAGAGGGCCAGAGGGAAAGGAAGTCCATGCCGTTTTTTATTTCTCTTTCTTGCCTCTCAGAACACTGCACATGCCCTGCTCTTGGACATCTGTACACCCTGGTTGGGGGGACAGGTTTGGAACCCTTGTCAGTAAAGGCACTGGAGGCTGAAGCTGAGGGAGCGTGGGGGGACCTGACAGCTTCTGGGGGAGTGTGAAATTCCCGGAACGCCTTCTGTCTCAGCCTGGTTAGGCTTCCTACCTCTCCGGTGGGGAGGGGAAGGCCTGCAGGCTGGTTGAAGGTGTGGGGCCGCAAAGGTGGTCAGAGGGACTCACGGCCCTGAATAGCCAAGCTCGCTTCAACTTTGAGGGCAGCCTCCCTTGCCTGTGGTCACCTGCATTCTGGGGAGCGTGTGTGCGGTGGCGCCCTCGAGGAAGGAGCTGCCATGCCTGCCCTACCTGGTGGCTCAGCCTCCTAGAACGTGGCCTCTGGCCTGTGATGGCGGTGACCCCAGACTCACTCCAGCCGTGAGGAGCAGTACGGGTGGGAGAGGCTGGGACTGGCTCCAGGCGTGACTTTCCCACAAATTCTGGGAAACCTCTGGCAAGTGTGTGGACTTCAGTTCCTCATCTCTAAAGCAGAATCAGGGCCTTAAGAGTCACCACAGCTCCACGTGGGGAATCGTCCAGTGCTGGGCTTAAAGAGAGGTCCCGCCTGGTAGCCTCCCAGCTGTAGTGGCTGGCTCCAAACAGGCTCCATTGGGCTTGCACAGGGTTTTAAAAAAGATGTTAATGAGTTGTCAATATGGAAAACTTTGGAGCTTTCAGGTAAAAAAGGGAGATTCGACCTTTTCAGGAAAAGCAGGAAACAGTCGGCAGCGGCTTCATGCTCCCATGGAACACCCATGGCAGGGACACCTGGGATCCGCCCTGTTCAGGGGACCCGCACCTCACGGCTGGCAGGTCACTGCCGGTCACTGTGTTCCTTTCTATTCATGCCTGGCCCTGAAGGTATCTGAGTGAAAGGATAGCATTTGGAGCCTCCCAGACCTCAGACACATGTATTAGCCTCTCTGTGCCTCAGTTTCCTTATCTTTAAAATGGGACTCCACCCAGCACCTCCTCCCAGGATGCTCTATGCAGGTTTCCTGCGAAGTGCTTGCCGCAGTGCCTGGCTGTTTTGTATTACCAGAGTCATTTCTCGGTGATACATGGAAGGAGTTGTCCCAGATGAACTCCGACTGTGATTTAAAGTCTGGCAGCCCGTGAAGGTAGGTGATGTGGGATCCATGTCCGGCTGCGGGGCTCTGAGGCATGGTTCAATGTGCAGGGAGGTCTGTCTGAGGGAATGCGCTTTATGGCAGAAGGTGGGTATCCCAGCATTTTCTTTGTGGGGTCTTGGGAGAGGTGAGGGTCCTCAGGAGCCCAGACCAAGAGGCCAAGCAGGAGAGCACAAGGGCTCATGCTCCTGCGTCGCTGGAGGCTGGGCTGGAGGGGGGCTCGAACCTCACAGAGACTTCACGGCACCCCATGGCCACTGAGGCTGGGACATCTGGTCACTCACACTTACGACACCCCTGCAACACTGGAATGAAGCTATAGTCCGGGTTTCTCGGGACACAGAGGCTGCAACACGCCTTGTCCACAGGGCAGACTGAAGGCGGAGGGCTTGCTTTGCTGCAGGAAGGATTTGGATCGGATAGCGGGAAGAATTTCCTCACAGGGAGTTGAACATTGAACGTGTTCCCATGGGAGACTGTGCAAGCCAACCCCCAACTTTGTGCCTGTCTTCCCATCAACTGCCTCAGTGAGTGCTGAGTCACGTGGGTAGAGAGTCCAGAGCTCAGAAGGTAGGTCCCAGTAAAGACCCGCTCACTATTGGTTTTTCATTTAAACTTCGGTGGCATTCTTCTGCATCAGCTTTCTTGGCTGGTGTGCTTAGTAATGTTCAGCCGGGGGCTGGCCAGCACGAGCAGCTGGACCGTCTGAGCCCACTGCCCTACCTGGCATGAAGAGGAAGAGGGTCTCCACCGGGCACTGAACCTCAGAGGGGGAAGGCTGGACACGGAGGCTCACAGAGAGGCCGGGGCTTTTGCTGGTGATTTTCCCTCAGCCAGCGCGGGCTGCTGCTAGGGCTGGAGCAGGTCTGAAATGGCCTCACTCTGGCAGGCGTTCTACATCAGAGTCCCGCCTGGTTAGAAGGACAGGTGTTCAGCTGGCCCCTGCAGAAGCGAGCCCTGATTTCTGCTGCGATGCTTTGGGTGAGGGGGTATGGCTGCTCTGCCCCCTCCCAGTGTGGCTCACGGGCATGCAGCCCAGCACGGCCTGGGAAACTCTGGGATCTGCCTGGTTGTGTCTTTGCACGGATATGTTCCTGTGCCTGACGGGCCCAGGGGGATTAGGAGAGGCCATCCCATAGGTCTGGATAGCTGGAAGGATCTTTGAAAAGTCTTGTCTGTTCTACAGGGATTGGAAGGGCTCTTTGGTTCTAAGCCACCCTGATCTCCCTGGAGAAGTCTGGAACCCCTGTGCACTCCCTTTCAGATCTCTGGCCTCAAGGCAAACAACTTGCCCACCATGGTAAGGGGGCAGAGCTCCCCAGAGGCCTCTCGGGTTTAAATAGTACTCCTATAAGTCGGTTTCTGTGGCCCATCTGAGACACCTCTGGCCATAAGGGGGTCTTCAGGAGGACTCAGGACCAGCTGGTCCCCTTTGACTTGATGCTTAAACCAAGATGTATCCCAACTCCTGTCTGCAGCCCAGCTTAAGCGCTGACAGCAGTCCCACCTACCCCTACCCCTACCCTAGCCTCAACCTGGCCCCCACTCACTGCCTATCCTGACTTTGACCTTGACTGGGACATCTCCCATGCAGCTTCCATTCCCCAGGCGGCTCCCTCCTCACCTCCAGTCCTACCTGAGGTTCATGTCCCCCTTCATGGCCAGACTGAAGATGTTGGACAGGGTCCCGCCAGGGGAGCAGCCGCAGACAAGGATGGCCAGGGCCTCGATGTTGTTTAGCTGGAAGACCTTGCCCAGAGTAAAGGCAGTGAGAGGCATGATACCGTACTGGGCCATCAGGGCGATGGCCAGTCCCTTGGGCTTCCAGAAGTGAGCCTTGATCTTGCTGAATTCCATGGTGCAGCCCAGCGAGAGCATGATAATGAGCAGCAAGAACACGAGAATGACACTCAGGGCCTTGTCGGTGGGGCGCTTGCCGAAGTTGGGTGGGAGGGTGAAGTTGAGCGGGGCCGTCCCGTTGTGAGCCTCCATCCTCCTGTGCAGCGGCAGAAGGTCTCGGGAACCAGCACAGCCCTTGTTCGGGGCGGACTCCCTTCCCTGTCCAGTCTTTGCTAGGTGCCTTCTTCAGGCCCCTCTAGGGCAGAACTGTGGCTCCGGGCAAATAGAAGGATTATGCAACTGGCAGAGCTGTTTCTCTGGAGGCGGTCCAAAGGGGAGAGAACCCAGAGCCTTCTCTGCCTGCTCCAACTCTGCCTCTGCAGCCTTCCCAGGGGGCCCTTATGCTTCCCTCTCAGCACTTGGCTACCACTGGGACAAGAGAGCCGTGTCTCTCCTTCGCTGCCCACTGAGTGCGCCCCACGGGCGTTCTGCCCCTGGGGACCTGTCCAGGGCCTGCACCGATCCAGGTCTGGTCCTCCCTGTTCTCTGTTCAGTCCCTGATACCTCCGCTCTCATTCAGGGGAAGACACCCTCCTCATTCCCCCAAATCTGGGTGGTGAAACAGCTGAGTGTTCCGTTTCCTTGCACGACCGAGGTAGTAGATCTCAAGGGGCTGTGGGACGGGGGAGGGACAGGCGTGCAGCTGGCTTCCAGGAAGCGATTTGTCCGTGGCTCTTCTCCTGCAAGATGACAGGGCCCCATGTCCTTCTCGCCTTATCTTATTCCCACCTGGACAGAGCAGGTCCTGAGAGGTGACTATGCTTCGCAGAGGGTAAAGCCTGCTGGGATGGTGAGGGGCTCTCAGGAAGGTTGGGAGGCTTTTTCCTTGAAAGGCAGCTCTCAGGGAAACCCTGCAGCAGAGATGGTTGTGCCCCGATTTCCCAGCCAGCAGCAGCCGGAGTGGTCCCATCGCTTGGGAAACTTGCAGAGAAGGAATCAGGAGCGCACAGGCTTTCCTCTCTGATTTCCTCACTGTTCTACTTGCTCTCTGCCCGTGTGTCTGAGGCTGGGAGCCAGGTTCTGCGTGGCAGCAGAAGGGCAGAAGGAGAAAGAGGTGGGGACGTGGGGCAGGGCACACCGTGTGTGGGGGTGGGCAGGGAAAGGCAGTCCTGAGCCTCCCCGTGATGAGGGAACAGAAGGCTGGCTGAAGCTGAAAACAAGCTGACACCCCGCATCCTCCCCCCCTCCCCCGCCCCCCACTCCTGGGTGGGACCCCTGTGATGTTCTTCTTCCCAACTATCTTAATGTTAATACCTTGCTAGAGGGGAAAACAACTTCAACAATGGCAAAGCCTCATTATCTTGCATGTCCTCTTTAGCATATGAAAGTTCTTTTGAAACCTCCCTTTTCCTTACCTCCCCCAACTCCCCAGTATATAATCAGCCACTCCTCAGGCCCCCCCAATGCCTCAGCTCTTTCTGCCCGTGTGCCCTGTCCCCGAGCTGTAATAAGACCACCATTTTGCACCAAAGATGTCTCAACAATTCTTTCTTGGACGTTGGCTCTGGACCTCACCCCATCAAACCTCACCTGTATTCCAAAACCACATCACCTCCGTCCCAGTGGCAGGGGTAGGACAGGACAGAACAGACCTCTTCACTGGGTTGGAGCCCACGAGGCTCGGGCGGTGTCTCACAGTTTCATATTTGCCGAAATGGGATGTTAGGCTTTGTCGGGGGAGGGACTCGAGAGCAGGACAGGGACAGGTTGTGAACCCCTGCGGGTTGGGGGTGGGAACAGATTTTGGTTCAGAATGAGGAATCACTTAAAAATGGTCCCGGGGGAAGGGGACCCTGATAAAGGCTGGGGGATCGGATCCATGCCTTTTCCACCACACACAGGAAGGTGCTGCTCCCTGGAGCAGTCTGTAGGCTGAATACCGTGACCTTGGGACAGGAACTTGTAACCTTGGGACAGGAGCTCAAAGCTGAAAGAAGATTTCATCCACCATCACTTTGACCTCAAATTTTCTAACTGATTAAGATTTTCCTTCCGCCTAACGATTCACACACATGTACCCCTGGGGCTAATAATACATTATATGTTAATTAAAAAAAAAAAAAAGATCTTCCTTCCAGCTCATCTCAGGCGAAAGACCCTGGAGTCAAGGCATCCCCAGAGGGAACAAAACTACCCCCTCGAGCAGTAAGGGCTGCTCTCTGAGCCCCCAAGATCCCACCCGTGACGCTGACGACCTGACCTTTCCTGCGCTCCTGAACGTACCCACCAACCTTGGCCCCACCTTTTCCTTGTATAAACCTGGACATATTTTCGGCACTTCGGAGACCATCGTTAAGACGCTAGTCCGTGGTCCTCCTGGTGTTGCTTCACTGAAATGAGCTCCTTTCTTGTTCCACCACCACTACTCTCTCTGCCTTTGGATTTTGTCAAGGGAAGGTGGCCAAACCTGGTCTCTTCGGGACCCCTCTCGTGCCCCTGTGCCCTGGGCAGGATGTGGAGAACAAAGGCAAAGTAAATGTAGATAAAATTAAATTTCCTTATAACCTGCAGCCCGTTGACAAATATTTGAGACAGGCAGAGTATGACATTCCTCCAGAAACTCCCAACTGTCTCAGTCTTAACGCCTTGCTGGAGGGAAAAACAACCTCAGGATGACAATAGCTAGGCCTCCAGGATCCTGTAAGTCTTCTTTAGCATAAGAAAATCCTTCTGGAAACTTCCCAGGTCTTTACATCCCCCCAACTCCAAAGTATGTAATCAACCCTCATGTCCCTGTGCTTTAATAAAACCACCTTTTTGTACCAAAAACGTTTAAAGAATTCTTTCTTGGCTCAGGAACCCTACTTGCAAAGCACATCAGCTACAGAGCTCCTTTCCCTCTCAGTGTAGGAAAGATGTTAGGGTTTGAAGCTGAGAGCCAAGAAGGAATTCTTTTTTTTTTTCCCCCCCAGGAAAGACATCTTTGGTGCAAAAAGGTAGTTTTATTAAAGAACGGGGACAGGACCTGTGGGCAGAAAGAACTGCACAGAGGTGGTGAGGAGTGAGTGGTTATATTCCAACTTTGAGACTGGGAGGGAGTTAAGGACAGTGTTAAGTCTCCAAGGAATTTTGGAAACAAGGTTTCTAGGACCTCGAGGGGGCTAGCTGTTGTTGGGAAAAAGTCATTTATTACCATCTAATAAAACCTCAGTTGTGAGACCCTTCAGATATGTATCGGTGGGCCATATGCTTGGGGGGATGATTGCCAATATGTACCTTGGGGGGTTTAGAGACAAAGGAAGTTTCCAAAGGAATTTTTACATGTTAAAGTAGGCTTAGGATCCTGGGGTTCAGGCCAAGATTGCCTTTTGCCCTTGGCAAAGTATTAACACTGAGGCAGCTGAGTCCCTAGAGGAATGTCACTGTGCCTGTTTCAGGGACTTGTCAGTGGGCTGTGGGTAGTAAGGAAATTTAATCATTTTTCTTCTGCCTTTGTTTCCCACGTGACTTGGATTGAGTGTACCTGGAGGGTCAGAAACAGGCCAAGAGAAGGCTGCTTCCTCTCATGGGAGCAGGTCAGAAGAGGCCCCTAACAGAGTACTACAGCAGAATGATCACAGGCACTCTGGGAATATAAAACACTCTAATACATGTTTTTGCCCTCAGGGACTTTATAGTCCATAGAAGACCATACGTGACCAGATGATTACAGTGCAAAGCAGAAAGCAAAAAATGTCCCAGGCCCAAAATGTCACTTGAGGCCGGCCAAACCAGGAAAATGGGGCTTCCTACCTAATCTAACTGCAGTTCCAAACTCCCCTCCAAATGCAGCCTTAACTGGTCAGTCAGGAGTTTTCTGATAAGCATGAGTGAGGTCATCCGTCACACTGGCCTTCTCCATCCCCCCCCCGCCCCACCCGCCGCAAAGGAAGATGACGTAATCTTCATAAAAAGACCCCCCCCATCCCCGACATCAAGGAAAGGTCATCTTGCATCTTGTAGGAACCAGTCTTTTGCTGATAACTCTCTTGTCTCGCTTTCCATCCTATATAAACCTTCCATTCTGTACAACTTTTCGAAGTCACCCCCTACTTGCTCCACAGGGTGGTGCCTGATTCATGAATCACTTAATAATGCCAGTTAGATCTTCAAATTCACGTGGTTGAATTTTGTTTTGTTTCATTTTTAACATGTGCAGCCATACCTGGGACCCTGATGCCAAAACATTACTTTTTACACATCTGTCTGATGCCCAAGGCCGTGAGAGGTCATCAGTCAGGACCTGTTAGAAGATTGGTTAAAAGCTCCCCAGGGTGTGGGGAGTCATCTACTGATGGATTACACATCATTACCTTTCTCTAAAGGGCAGAGCTCCCACGAGCGCTGTAAACAGGATACTAATTCAGCTACTCCACATTTCTCAGGAACCCGAACTTCTGCCTCCCACTGTGGACTCTTCCCTTTGGGAGAACACACTTTCTTGCCCTCCCCTCCCCCCAGCCCCATTCCATTCTGTTTGTTCTCAGTTATGTGCCTTTGCACCAAAAGGAAAAAATCTAGGAAGCCGACAACCTCCATCCTTTTATACATGTCTTCTCAGTACTTCCTCTGATGCCGTAACATTTGGGGGATGGAAGGGTCTTCTGTGTTACATTAATGACATCGGACAGTCGCCTCGCATGTGCTCTGCAACAGACACTGTGATTGAAATCACGTTTCTTCTTCGGTTCTCACAATAACCTTGGACCTGTTAGGTACTGTTGCTATCCTCTCCCAGATGAGGAAAGCCTGGCTCAGAGAGGTTAAGCAATCTGCCCAGTTTGTGTTGCTGTGGGTGGGATTCCTGGGCAGACCCCCGTCTGAGAAGCTCATCTTTCCAGCAGCCTGGCTCTAGGCCCCTAAGTGCTCTCTCGTGTTGCTTTGTGCTGCTCCTTTCTTCCGCCTCTGCCTTCTGAGATCTCCAATGTTTGAATGGAAAAACTCATTGATGACATAGTTTTTCCAAACTGAACTGGACCAGTTCTTTCACAGGCTGGTTAGAGCCGGCAACGCAGCACCAGAACGATTTATGAGGGGTAGTGGAAGCCAGGAGAATCTGCTTAAGGGGCAATGTTGCTTCAGTTCCAGCAAAATGGAGCTGTTGTCCCATATTCTGCTGTGGCATAAAAAGCCCTCCATCAACCATTGCCCTTGCCCTCCAAATCCTGCTTGCAGAAAATTCTACAGAAATACTTGTTCGAGTGCACAAAGG